ATTTTTATTTTTTAATATATGTATGAAAATGGTAATACCTATCCCCCTCTCTTCTATTTTCTCCTATTATATTTTTATTTCTTTTAATAAGTTTTTTTTTTTTTTTTTTTTTCCCAAGCAAAATGGCAAAGGATTTGACTTTAATAATATAATAATAAATGTATTGACTTTATTGCCATTAGGTTTTTAATAAAGCTGGAAATTTTGAATTTTGGGACAAATATCATCTCATTTTGAGGGAAGCATAAAATATAAAAATTAACCCACGTGCTTGTTTACATTATTCTAATCCTAAATGCATGATTCTACGACAACCTTGGTCATGCTTAGGAAAAAATAAAATTCATTTTTTATCCTTACATTCAAGTGGATTAATTAAAATGTGATAAATGGACTATTTTATCAACGTTAAATACCTAAATTACGACAACCACTTAAGGCGTTCCTTCGATTCAAGCCAAGAGATCGGCTATGGCGGTCGCAGCCTCAACAGTCAACGGATTCAGCCTCACTCCGGTATCCAAAGCCGACGAAAACTACCACAGACCCACTGACCTCAAAGCTTTCGACGACACGAAAGCAGGCGTCAAAGGCTTAGTCGACGCCGGAATCACCGAAATTCCACGTATCTTTTACAGCCCACCGGAGAATTTGAACTCCGATGATGTTTCCAGCGAAACCCAAATCCACATACCCGTGATTGACCTCGACCATATCGACAAATCCACCGTCGACAGAGTCAGAGAAGCTTCAGAGAAATTGGGGTTTTTCCAGTTGATTAACCACGGGATTCCGGTGGACGTTCTTGAAGAGATGAAAGATGCAGTTCGGAGATTTAACGAACAAGAAACAGAATCAAAGAAACAATATTACACTCGCGACCTCACGATGCCTTTGATTTACAACAGTAATTTCGATCTGTACTCTGCTGCGACCACCAATTGGAGGGATACATTTGGGTATATAAGTGCCCCAAATCTCCACAATCCGGCAAGCCTGCCGGAAATTTGCAGGTAACTGTGCTGATAATTTTGGTTTTTTAAAACCTTTTACTGACCTCCGAAGCTCTGTTTGAAATTTGCAGGGATATTCTAGTGGATTACTCGAAACGAGTGATGGAGGTTGGGAAATTACTGTTTGAATTGCTGTCGGAAGCTCTGGGCCTGAACCCAAATTATTTGAACGACATAGACTGCAACGAAGGGCTTGCACTTGTATGCCACTATTACCCACCATGCCCACAGCCGAATTTGGCCATCGGCACATCGGAGCACACAGACAATGACTTCATCACTGTGCTATTGCAAGACCACATCGGCGGCCTACAGATTCGGTATGAGAACAAGTGGGTGGACGTGCCCCCGGTCGCCGGAGCTTTAGTCGTGAACATCGGAGATCTTATGCAGGTAAGTTTATGCAAAAAAAAAAAAAAAAAAAAAAAAAAAAAAAAAAAAAAAAAAAAAAAAAAAAAAAAAAAAAAAAAAAAAAAAAAA